GAAGCAACTTCTTCCTTTATAAAAATTTTCTCCGAGGCACCGTTAACGAGTTATTAACGAAAAACAGTGACCAATGAGAGACGAGCTTGGCTGGCGCGAGGCGACCGAGCCAATGAGCGGAACTGGGCTTCGTGCGCTGGTTGGCTGGGCCGCCTCGCGTCAGCCGTACTCGATTCTTATTGGTCACTGGTTTTCGTTAATAACTCGTTAACGGTGCCTCGGAGAAAATTTTTGTAAAGGAGAAGCTGCTTCCAATGATCCGAGGAACCCGCCATTTCCGGATTGCGAGACATTTTTGGGACACCCTGTATATTGTTTTTGGCGAGGGAATTTAGATAAGTAATAATATATGACTGTAGGGGAAATTGTTCATGAAATCTCAATGTTATTATTTTTTAGTAAATGCAGATTTGAAGATTTATCGTTTGAAATAAAAAAAAAAATCTATTGTTATATACTGAGTACTACTATCATACTTATTATATACTTATATACTAGTATATATATATAGTATATTTAATAATATACAGTAGCGGACATATATTTAAGACCACTTGAAAAATGGTACAACTTTTTTTAAAAACTGGACCAAATGACTTGTAATTTACGGAGATCTATAAAATGCATTTTTTAAATTATCGTTATGAGGTCAGATCAAAGAGTTGAAAAACATGAGTTTGTTAATCTTTTTTCTCATTCCAAGTAATAGCAAAATTTTAAAACAGTGTCAGGGTCGTTGTCTGGTAGACTGATACCTCTATCATCTAAAAAAAGTCATTTGGTTCAGTTTTAAAAAAAGTTATACCGTTTTTCAAGTGGTTTTAAATATATTCCCGCTACTGTATAGTAATATATGTATAATAATATATAGTAATATATAGTAATGTATAGTTTATATAGTAATATACAGGGTGTCCCAGGTTTTAATGTTCAAACTTCGTCAGTGTATTCTATGGCACAAAGTAAGAAAAAAATGTTATGTAAACATAGGTCACATAGAGCTTCATTAAGAAGTTATAACAAAAATTCAGAATAGGAATAGTAATCAACTTGCTGTTACTGCGAGCATTGGCTTGAATAGATCAGCACATGCCGTGTGTTTATGTAAGCTGTGTTTATTAATACATTTCAAAATGTCTACCGTTGTTGACAAATAGATGATTGTCATCGATCGAAGATCGAATTTATGACCGTACGAATTTCGTTTCTATTCTCTATCATTTCATTGAACGAATTTCTGTTATAACTTCTTAATAAAGCTCTATATGACCTATGTTTGCATAACATTTTTTTCTTACTTTGTGCCATAGAATATACTGACAAAGTTTGAATATTAAAACCTGGGACACCCTGTATAGCTAAATAATCAGCGAAAGGAGAACTAGGGCCTCGGAGTTCAATTATTTTGCAATTCTGTGTACGATTAGTATTATTCGCGATATCGTCGGTGTTGTTTTTTCCCCCACGGTAGACGTACCTAGTCATTTTTCCTTCGGTGGCGTCGCGATCGGTGCAGGTGCGAACGAAATTCGGCGGCAGAACTTTGCCCGACTCGGACTCGCCGGTCGATTCTACTTGCTGAGTCTTGACTGCCTCCTTCTGATAGGCTTGGTAAGCCTGATCCACCTGATCGCTACTGGACTCGATGGCGAGGTAGGCGGAGCTGACGGTGCAGCCTTGCGGATTCTCCGTGAGCAAGGTGTAGTGGCCGCTGTCTTCCGGCAGAGCGACTCTGATCCTGAGCGTGGCCTGCTGGTTCGAGTAGCTCATCTCCACGCGTTGCGAGTCGCGGATCCTTTGGCCATTTTTAAACCAAGTCAACTGGAAAATGGCGGACGATTATTCGAATAAGTTGGTTAACATTTACCACATATTATTATTATTATTATTTTTAGAGGTTCTTGCGTCAAGTGATCGACTGTTGGTTATTTGTTGGTTAACATTTACTATACAGAGTGACCGAAAAATGTCTCGCAATACAGAAATGGGGTGATTCCTGAGGTGATTTTAAGCAACTTTTTCCTTACCGAAAATGTACTACGAGGCTTTGTTTACGAGTTATTAACGAAAAAGCAGTGACCAATGAGAGGCGAGCTCAGCTGGCGCGAGGCGGCTGGCGCAAGGCGGCTGGCGCTTGACGGCTCAGTCAACGAGCGCACGAAGCCCAGTTCCGCTGATTGGCTCGCCTGACGCGAGCTCGCCTCTTATTGGTCAGTGTTTGTTCGTCGATAACTCGTAAACGGAGCCGCGGATTGCATTTTCGCTAAGGAGAAAGTTACTCCAAATGAGCCCAGGAATCCATTATCGGACTTGGAGGCTTTTTCGAGACATTATGTATATTATTATTATTATTATTATTATTATTATTATTTTCAGAGGTTCTTGCGACAATAAATCGAAGAGATAAAGAAATCTAGCGCGTGTTTAAAAGAAAAATAAAATGTTCAATGAAACAGAAATTGGAGAAACAATTCGTAAAAACGGAAATTTTTCAGATCCTCTAAATTTTCCAGAATATATATTTGTATCGGCGCGACTTACTCTCGGTTTCGGGTTGCCGGATATCTTCGCTGTGAAAACGGCGTCGGATCCTTCGACAAGCTTCGAGTTTCTCGGCTTCTGCGCGAATTGCGGAGGTGCAACCGGTCCGAGGCTGCGGTCCACCGTCGTCGAAATTTGCACGTCCGATTCGCCCACGAAACGGCGGGTGATCGACTCTCGAAATTCTGTCTCTCGCAGCAGCCTGTACTCGAACGTGTCGACCTGCGAACACCGTCGAATATCATCGTGAAAACCCTTCATCTCATTTCTTTTCGCGGCAACCCTCCGCGGGAAAAGCAACCCTAACCATCGGAGAACGTTCCCAACCAATTAAACTGATATTAATAATAATAGTTTCAATATTGATAATAATATTTTTGATACTAGTAATAATATTTGCGATACTAATAATAATATTCTTGATATTGATAATAATATTTTTTATATTGATAATAATATTTTCTACATTAATAAAATCGAATAAAGTACTACTGAATTAGTACTGGTAACAATATTTGTGATATTAATAATAATATTCTTGATATTAGTGATAATAATTTTAATACTACTAATAATATTTTTAATATTAGTAAAAATATTTTTAATATTAATAATAATATTTTCGATTTTAATAAAATCGAT